GACACCGCAGGGGAGCCCTGATGTGCACGGTGGACCCCGGGTGATAATGACGTGCCAGCGCAGGTTCACGACTGCAACAAATGCGCCACTCTGGGGGGGTGGGGGATGTTGACAGTGAGGACAATAGCACGTGGGGGCGGGGGGGATGGGAGAACTCTGTGTACGTTCTGCTCAATTTCGCTGTGAGTCTAAAACTGCCTTTTAAAAGAAAAGGCTGCCTTTTACAAATGCACACTATCCTGCAAAACAGGACAAATATGTTGGCTCTAGATGCCATCCAGGGGTCCAGTCTTTCCGAAAAAATGAATTACACCATAGTGTAGACAAGCTCACTCCTGAAAGCCTCGCACGGCCCCAGGGGCCAGTGGACAAGGAGGCAGGGGCCAGAAGTCAAGCCTCCCTCTAGGACAAGGACATGTGGCCCTGAGGGATGTGGGGGCAGGGGAGGGGAGGGAGTGAGAAGGCAGTGTCAGGGCCCCCCAGCCCCTCCCCCATCATCCCAGCCAGACCCCCACCCCACCCCCGAAGGAGAATCGCCCAGCTCTTCCCCAGAAGCCCCTGTGAGACCCCGGAAGCCTGGCGGTGGTGAGAACACCACAGACCATGCAGAGGAAGGGGGACACAAGCTCATGAGGCTCCAGTTAAAAGTGTTCGTGTGATTTCACGAGGGCGGGGTGGGGGGGGGGGACCCAAGAATGCCGGGACCCGAGGGTTACACACGTTTAGTTTTAGATGTAATCTCAGAGATGATTTCCTGTATTTTGGACAACGGGGCCCAGTTCCTTCATACCCGGTTGTGCCTTGGGGCCTCACGTTGCGCTCACTCTTGCTCTGCAGCGGGCAGGACGCCGCCCAGCCGGGTGGAGAGGGTCCCCGGCACACTTTGTGTCCCCATTCCCTGGGCTCACGCTGACCCTCCAAACGTTGGCTCCTCTCAGCGGGCGCATCAGCCCTACTCCTATCATTTCCAGCCCTACCCCCTGACCCTATGCTCCCCATCTCCTGCAGACCCTTCCCTGCCCCGACCCCAGCCCTGGCCACTGCCTTCCAGAATTCTGAATAGCTTTAGATGGTAGCTTTTTAAAGTTTCTGTTTTGTTTAGTATCCGGCTGCGGGGTTCGCTCAACAAACAGAACCTTAGCCAAAGCCCAATAGTAAGCAGCTGAGAGCGAGGTCCTGAGTTCTGAGCCCCTCGGCCTTCCCTGAAATCCCCACATAGAGCCCGTGAGCCCGCCCCTGGTTTGCAAACGGAGCGCCCGGGGTCCCCTCCGCCCTCCACCCTTTCCTCCCCCGGGACCATCACTGCCTTTGGGCCCCCTGCCCCCAGCCCGGCGGGAATAGAGGCTCTAGCCTCTGGCCTCCTTGACTCTCTGGGTTCTCCCCCCGCCCCCCCAGGCCGGCCGTGAGTACTCGCCCGCGGCCACCACGGCGGAGAATGGAGGCGGCAAGAAGAAGCAGAAAGAGAAGGAGCTGGATGAGTTGAAGAAGGAGGTGGCCATGGTGAGGGCCGCGGCCCCCCCCCGAGGGCTGTGGAAAAGGGGTCCCAGCGCACCTGCAGAAGGCATTGCCGCCCCTCCCGTGCCCCCCGCTTCAGCCCCGAGCCCCTCGGCGCTCACAGGCGTTCTAGACACGATGCTCAGCCTCCTGCCCCCGAGTAACTCGACTTCCCTCCTCAGGACGACCACAAGCTGTCCTTGGATGAGCTGGGCCGCAAATACCAAGTGGACCTCTCCAAGGTGAGCGGCGGGGCTGCGAGGGAGGGTGCCAGGCCGCCCGTGGGTAGGAGGGGCCTCAGAGCTGGAATCCTGTCCTCTGCACCCACGAGGAAACTGAGGCCCAGAGTCCAGTGACTACTGGGGCCCGAGCCAGAGCTAGAACCCGGATTCCCTGCCCTTCTCCTGGGAACCCGGAAGCCAGGCCCCCGGGGGCACCCTCCAGGCGGGGCTCGTCGTCCGCCCCAGGCAGCTCCGATGACACGTGTCTCAGGGGAAGTGACCTCCGTGAAATGCTAACCCCTCACTGCTCTCACGGTAACCTGGGCGCCCCACGGTGCACGCGACGCCTAACATCCACTTCCCTGATCCTCACAAGACCTAGGGGTTAGGTGCTGTAGACCTGTGTGTGACAGCAAGGGCTCTCGTGGAGGGGGACAAGCTTCCCACCGTCACAGAAATAGCAAGCGGCACAGTCAGATTACCAAGCCCACCATTTTGAAAAACAAAGCGTCAGTCAAAACTGTAGTGGGTGCGTACCTCCTCCCAGAGGCCCTCCCTGACTTCCCTTTTGAAAATTCTTCGCCTTTGCCTTTCTTCTTCTTTTTTGTTTATTTTTGAGAGAAAGAGACAGAGAGAGAGAGAGAGAGACAGAGAGAACACGAGCGGGGGAGGGGCAGGGAGAGAGAGAGAGAGGGAGAGAAAGAATTCCAGGCAGGCTCCACCTGTCAGCACCAAGCCCCACATGGGGCTCGAACCCACGAACCGTGAGATCGTGACCAGAGCCGAAGTCAGACGCTCAATCAACCAAGCCACCCAGACGCCCCTCTTTATTTTTCTTAAGGATCTGGCAGTGACGACTATTTATCGTGTATCGCCTCACCAGGTCATAAGCTCCACGGGGCAGGGACTTCACGGGTCACGTCCAGCTCTGGATCCCCAGAGCTGGCGACAGAGCCCGGCACGTAGCAGGCATTCAACTCACACTTAGGAGACCGATGAGTGCACAGGTAGAAAGACAACCACGCGGCCCCTGTCCCCAAGCCGCTCAAAGTCTGGCAGCAGGAAAGAAGGTGACGCAGAATTCCCACGCCCCGTGTGGAGCGCGGTTCTAGAACCGTGTGTGGGCGACACCGGGTGCAGAGAGAGACGTCTGAACCGGCCTGGCGCTCGCGGAGCAGGGCCGGGCGAGCCTCTGGGGGAAGCGACGGATGGTTCAGAGCCCTGTGACGCTGATGGTCAGCACACCGGCCGTTTCTCCTGGCTGAAAAGGGGAAATCTGAAGGAAGACAGGTGGTGGGAGGAGCCAGTTCAGAGGCCTCTCCAGGCAGCCTTACCCAGGCTCCCTCCGGAGGAGGTACCACGGCCCTCACCAGCGAGTGTCTCAACCCGAGGACGCCCAGAGTTGGGGCCGCAGTCTGAACCTTCCTCGGGCTTCGAGGCCTCCAGCGCTCACTGCAAATGCCACCTCCCCGGTGTGACCTCTCCTGATGGTCCCCCACCCCTTCCGACCGGGTGGGATTTTTCTCTCCACCCGGACAGACGTTGTTCCCCTGCCCGGGAGCAGGTGGAGGGAAGCGGTGAGGAGGTGCTCACACGCCTGTCCGTGCCTCCCTCAGGGCCTCACCAACCAGCGGGCCCAGGACATTCTGGCTCGGGACGGGCCCAACGCCCTCACCCCGCCCCCGACCACCCCTGAGTGGGTCAAGTTCTGTCGCCAGCTCTTTGGGGGCTTCTCCATCCTGCTGTGGATCGGGGCCATTCTCTGCTTCCTGGCCTACGGCATCCAGGCCGCCATGGAGGATGAACCATCCAATGACAACGTGAGCCTGCACGCCCGACCCCTGGGCCCACCACCCGTGGCTCTGTCCTTCAGGCCCGAATCCCAGTAGAAGCGGGAGCAGGGAACAAAGCCCTCACATCACAGCCCCGCGGGCCCCTCTGCCCTTTAGGCTGAAAGGGGGTGAGGCTTCTTTTTATATCTGTAAGCACACACACGCACACACATCCGTGAATGAGACAGCCCCTCCCTGTCCTTCCCACCTCCGTGGGCTTGTCTGCATCCCCGGGGGGCCGGTGGAGAGGCCTGGTCCTGGGAACCCCCTACGACCCTCCCCGCCCCTTCCGTTTCTTAGGAAGGAGACTGGAGGGGGAGGTTGGGGAGAAGGTCTTCTGCCATTCCCACACCCGGTCACGGACAAAGGCGGCCCCGAATGCCCGCCTGAGGGGCAGCTGGCCTTCCCGGGCTGGGAGAAGAGCAAGTCCCTCAAACCTCTCTCCTTCCAGCTCTACCTGGGTGTGGTGCTGGCAGCTGTGGTCATCGTCACCGGCTGCTTCTCCTACTACCAGGAGGCCAAGAGCTCCAAGATCATGGATTCCTTCAAGAACATGGTGCCTCAGGTAGACAGCCGGACGGGGCCCCAAGGCGGGCCACGGGCTTTCTGGAAGCGTCCAGCTCCTCCCCCTCAGCAACTTGCGCTCTGAGACGGCGCCGCGGGCGGAAACACCCTCCCGCTCTCCACGCCAGGACCTAGTTTCACTGCTAAGGGCGCCGTGCCTTCTCCTCGAGGGGTGGAGGAGAGGGGGGAGGCCAGCACGCAGAGGAAGGCGCTGGCGGGCCGGGCGCGTCGTGAGACGCCTGGGTCCCCCCCTCCGCAGCAAGCCCTGGTGGTGCGGGAAGGAGAGAAGGTGCAGATCAACGCGGAGGAGGTGGTGGTGGGAGACCTGGTGGAGGTGAAGGGCGGAGACCGCGTGCCCGCGGACCTCCGGATCATCTCTTCTCACGGCTGCAAGGTGAGGAAGCCGCCAGGTGGCGGCCCGAAGGCGCAGGCCCTACAGAGCTGGGGTGGGGGCGCCCAGTCAGAGGCTGCAGGTTTGGGAGACCCAGGCCCAGTGTCCACCTGCCCCCGCGCCACCCGGCCGAACCCTGCCTCCCGCGGAGCGTTTGTGGATCGTCTCCTCGTGGCTGTGTGTCAGGCGTTTCTTTGGCATCCGCTTCATGCGATCATGTCGCGGGCATTATTATGTGTCAGATGCTTTATTTACATCCACTTAGGCTACTGTTTTTTTAAGTTTTATTTATTTATTTTGAGAGAGAGAGCATGAGCAGGGGAGGGGCAGACAGAGAGGGAGAGAGAGAGAGAATCCCAAGCAGCCTCCGCCCAGTCAGCACAGAGCCCGATGCGGGGCTCGAACTCACGAACGGTGAGATCGTGACCTGAGCTGAAATCGGGAGTCGGACGCTCAACCGGCAGAACCCCCCCCAGCTGCCCCTCCCCCCACAGCTGCCCCTTTAACTCTGTTCTCGTGGCGTGTGGCCGCAAGGGCGACCGTGCACGACCCTAGGCGGTTCCATTTTCTTAGCCTGTGATGTTCGAGGAGGCGCCCCCTGCAGTTGTGTGACACAGAGACTCTGGTTACACGCCCCGTTTTACAGATGGGTAAATGGAGGAGGTTTTGTTGGTTAGGTCACCAGCCCAAGGCCACGTAAGAAGCGAGAGCCAGGATCCCGAACCGGGGCACGGACGGTGGCTGAGTAAACACGTGATGAGGGCCAGGGTAATGTGCCCGTCGTGTCGTGGAGGTCGAGCGTGGTTGGAGTCCGGGGACAGCTGTGTGTGCACACGTGTGTCAGCCCGTCTCGTGCCCACACGCCTACTTCCTCCGCAGGTGGATAACTCATCTCTAACAGGCGAGTCGGAGCCCCAGACCCGCTCCCCCGAGTTCACCCACGAGAACCCCCTGGAGACTCGTAATATCTGTTTCTTCTCTACCAACTGTGTGGAAGGTGAGAAGCCGGCCCCGTGGGAGCGCCCCAGCCCAGCACCCACGGAAGGAAGGGTCCGAATCCCGAACCCCCAGGCAGGGCTGGGGGCTGCGGCCTTACCTAGTTCTCGAAAGTCCTGCCTAAGGCAGAGGGAGGGGACCGAGGGGTCAGGGAGCCCTGAAGAGCAGAAGCAGTCCGTTCCAGACCGGTCCCTTCCACACACACCGTTCCACACAGGACACGCACAGACACCAACGCACACGATTCACAACACGCACCATGCCCCAAACCAGCCTCGACTCCGAGAAGTCTTCGGTTGGACTGATTGGTTCCGTTTCTCCTGATTCGGGGACTAGTTGCTTCCCTGTCTCACCCTTGCTCTGACCAGCACACAGGCTGGGGAGGCTCGAGCCAGCTGAACACCGGGCACCCCCCTCAGTCTGCCCCGTGCACCCCATCTCTGTTCCGGGTTCCGGACATGAACCAGGGCCAACGGGAGCTTCCCGAGCTGCCACCACGTAAAGGCAGGAGCCCAAGCCTACCGGAAACCCCTGCCCTCTGTGGCCGTGCCCCCTCGGAGAGAGCCCAACGGCAAGCGCTGTTGGGGACAGAGGCCTGGCCAGACCTGGGGCCTGGGACGGGCCGGAGGTGGCCGCGTGCCCCCTCCCCCTCCACTCCCTTCCTTCCCGACTCACTTCTCCCCAGGGTATTATGTCTCTCTGAGCCGCTCCCCATCTTTAGCAAATTGGAACTATAATGCAAATCGCCACACATTAAATATCTTACATTTTTAACGTCCTGAGATCCTGAAACGCGCTCCACATTTGCCGCAATTGGTAAAAATGCCTACTAAAATACTCGCGTTGCTTACTCTGAAATGGGCTGTGGAGAAAGGACGAGGAATGAAGGGAGCTGACATTTGTCAAAGCCCTGCTACTACGTCCCAGGCCCCCGTCAGGTGCAACACAGCACCGTCCCGTTTCGTTATGAAGGCAACCCATCCCTGGGCGGGAAGTCAGACGGGAGTGCAAACCCACGCTTGGCCAGCCCCTACCTGCGTGCTCTTTCCTCATAGAGCTCGCTCTCCCTCTCGCTCTCCCTCTCGCTCTCCCTCTCGCTCTCCCCCTCTCTCTCTCTTCCTCTCGAGAGGAAGACCCAAGGGTCTACCCATGTCTACCTAAGGGTCGGTGACCGCCTGGCTCCTTCTGTGCGGTCTCAGGCCCAACGTTGAGAGAGAAAGTCTTAAGGCCACACGGAAAACCCGTAACAGGTGCTTTCCTCCGTGCCCGTCGTATACTTCCGGATCATAACAAGCCTGAGACTGACTTTACCGAAATACCAGCGCTGTTTTTATTTCATTTATTTCATTCCTCCTCCATTTGAATTCTGGGTTTACCCGCAAGGTCTCCCCTCGGGGCCCAAGGACAAGAGGAAAGGAGTTGGGGTTGGCGGGGGCTGGGACGGGTAGTCTGCGCAGGGGCAAGACGGCCACCCACGGGGGGTACAGTCTCCCGGGCGCGGCCCGCGGGACCGGAGTCTGAGGCTCGTTTCCTCTGCCGCGGCCTTCCTTTTCCACTTCCGGGCTCCCCTCTATGTTGCAGGCACGGCCAGGGGCATCGTGATTGCCACAGGCGACCGGACAGTGATGGGCCGCATAGCCACGCTGGCCTCAGGCCTGGAGGTCGGGCGGACGCCCATCGCCATGGAGATCGAACACTTCATCCAGCTGATCACGGGGGTGGCCGTGTTCCTGGGGGTCTCCTTCTTCGTGCTCTCCCTCATCCTGGGCTACAGCTGGCTGGAGGCGGTCATCTTCCTCATCGGCATCATCGTGGCCAATGTGCCCGAGGGGCTGCTGGCCACTGTCACCGTGAGTGGGTCAGGCCGAGCGCCACCCGGGGAGGGTCTCGCCACCCTTTTTCTCAAGGGGCTTACCGTTTCTCGGCGATGTTTTCGCCTCCAGCCCCCAAAGTCACTTATCAGATTCCCGTTTAACGGATGGCTCAGAGTTGGAGCCTGAAAAATCTCGGGAGGGACTGCGCCTCGGCTCGCGGTCTCTCTCCCGGGGGTGCGAGGCAGCCACCTGCTCACCCCCGACGTGCTAGCCGCGGCCAACCGTGCCGTAAAGCCTCCCCCGAAGGTCACCGGTGACTAACTGGCAAGCCCGGTGCCCTTGCCTCAGCTCCCTTCCTTGACTCTGCCGCAGAAGCGGGTACCGCTGTCCACCCCCTGGGAGTCTCCCCTCCACCGAGCACCGCGACGCGTCACTATTCTGGTTCTCCTCTGTCCCCTGCGCGGTCTCCTCCTGCTCCCCCGACCCGGATTCTCAGGCCTCGAGCTCTGCTCTCCACCCCCACCCCAGGCGCCACACCCCATTCTGTGCCAGCGGCTGTCACACCCCTTCGCCCAGCTCTGCGCTGGCCCGCTCTGGACTCCGGCCGCGCGGCCTCGCTTCCCCGAACACACCCCTTGGTCTCAGCCCGGCACGTCCGAAATCGAATCCATCCGCCACCCGCGTGTAGATCCCACCTGGTGTTGGCAGAGCGGGACCCCTGGTCCGGGGTGATGTCACCACACGCCCGGTTCCAGGCTCAGCCCCTCTTCCTCCCCTCCCTGTCCCAGGTGTGTCTGACCCTGACCGCCAAGCGCATGGCGCGCAAGAACTGCCTGGTGAAGAACCTGGAGGCGGTGGAGACGCTGGGCTCCACCTCCACCATCTGCTCGGACAAGACGGGGACCCTCACCCAGAACCGCATGACCGTCGCCCACATGTGGTTCGACAACCAGATCCATGAGGCCGACACCACCGAAGATCAGTCCGGTGATCGGGCGCTCCGAGGGGGCGAGGGGCTGGAGGACGCCCAGGGCGCCCGCGTGGCAGCGAGGCAGGGAGGGGGGCAGACGAGGGCCCTGAGCCGCACGCCCGCTTCTCCCTCCCTGCCTCCCAGGGGCCACTTTTGACAAGCGATCCCCCACGTGGACGGCCCTGTCTCGGATTGCCGGCCTCTGCAACCGCGCTGTCTTCAAGGCCGGGCAGGAGAACATCTCTGTGTCGAAGGTGGGGCGCCTCCGCACCTGCCCACCTTGCTGACGCCCAGCTCCCCCGCTCACACCCTCCGACAGCCTCCGGGTGTGGGGGGGGGGGGCTTGGGTGCCCTCCTCCGTCGGCCCATGTGACCCTGAATTCTCCTCCGGCAGCGGGACACAGCCGGCGATGCCTCCGAGTCAGCTCTGCTCAAGTGCATCGAGCTCTCCTGCGGCTCCGTGAGGAAGATGAGGGATAGAAACCCCAAGGTGGCGGAGATCCCCTTCAATTCCACCAACAAGTACCAGGTCCGGTAGGGCACCAGCACGGGGGCGGGGAGGGGGCCGAAATGAGGGGGGCGCGCAAGACCTAGGAAGGGTGGGAGCCTCGGCCGCGTCCTTCGCCCCGGCCTCGTCCCCCAGGAAAGCCGCGGTGACCCATGTCTGGTCGCAATGACCCCCTCTGACTTCCAAACTTCCATTCCTCACTACAGCCCATCGCCCTCCCAGCTCTGGCCCCAGCCTCCCAACCTGCCCAGTGGTACCCCTGAAATTGCCTTAGGGTACCCCTCAAGCCACAGGCATCTGTTCAATGCCAAGAACTCCCCGCCTAAGCACACTGAGGCCAGCCTGGCGGCAGGTGCCGCCCCCCACGCCAGCACAGTGCCTGTTTCAGCTGGTCTGGGCAAACATTTGTTAGGTGAATGAATGTCCTAGGGGAAGAGGACGCTCAGTTTACAGGGCTGGGACGATGAGGCCCCAACTCTCCTTCACACGCAGAGGCCCTCCCTCTGTTGACAATGGTTGATGGATCAGGGGTTATCTTATTAGGGGAGGTGTCCTTAGCAGCCTCTGCTGTCCCAGGACCAGGGGCGAGTATGGCCCCCTCTGTAACCACCTGTCCTCCCTCCAGCTGTCTATCCACGAGCGGGAAGACAGCCCCCAGAGCCACGTGCTGGTGATGAAGGGAGCCCCGGAGCGCATCCTGGACCGGTGTTCCACCATCTTGGTGCAGGGCAAGGAGATCCCTTTGGACAAGGAAATGCAAGATGCCTTTCAGAACGCCTACATGGAGCTGGGCGGGCTGGGGGAGCGCGTGCTGGGTGAGAGGCCAAAGCCGGGAGCGGGGCCCAGAAGGGTGTCCGGGCCTCACTGGTTTCCCCAGGGCGGGGGCTCTGGGGACAGCCAGGCAGGCACCTGGTTGCACTCACTCTTCCCTCCGCCCGCCTCAGGGTTTTGTCAGCTGAATCTGCCCTCTGGGAAGTTCCCTCGCGGATTCAAATTTGACACAGACGAGCTGAACTTTCCCACGGAGAAGCTCTGCTTCGTGGGGCTCATGTCCATGATCGACCCTCCCCGGGCTGCCGTGCCGGACGCCGTGGGCAAGTGTCGCAGTGCGGGCATCAAGGTACGCCCTCCCTTCCTCCCCCCGTCCTCCAACGCCGAAGGTCAAGGGCCTGCAGGGGCTGCTGCCTCGCGGACACCCAGGCCACGGGTGGCCACCTTCCCACGGACCCAGAGGAGAAGCTGTCCATCTGCCTGGAGCTCTCGCTCTGGTCCCTCTTGGTCAAGGTAACCATGCACATCGCCTCCCTCTCTCATTCTACTCTGATTTTGAGCCCATCTGGCACTCGTGCTTCGGAGACCTGGCTGTCCAACTTCCCGACTAATGTCCACGCTCTCTAGCATCTGGGGTGGGATTAGCGGCTCTTGTGGGCGCCCACTCCCTCCCCACGCCCCCAGCGACTGGCTCTCGTCCTCATCCCCCAAACACACCCCTCCTGGACCCTCGCGTCCGACTGCAAGTGCTCCCCAGGGGCCACTCCTTCCTCTGTGCCTCGTTCGTTCTTCATTCTGCAAATATTTATCGTTTACCCCCTGCGGACCAGGCACTGTTCAAGGTGCCCGGGTTCAACAAACAGACGGAAACCCTTTCCGCTTTCCTCTCTCCGAGACACCCTCCTCACCAGCCCCTTAACCCGTCTCATTGTCAGTCATGGTGCCGCGGCTGGCTCTTCTTTTTCCGGCGTCTCAGCTAATGCCCAATCAGTTCAAGCCGCCCGTCCACTGAGGGCCAGGCGCTCCGCCAGGCTCAGGCATCCTAAGACGAAAGAGATGTGGTGCCTGGCCTCCGGCGCTCACGGGCCCCCGGGGGAAATAAATGCCCCTACGGTTAGTCACAGAACACTCTGAGAGCTGGGGTCGTGAGCACCTACCACGGGCCAGGTACTCGCATAACGCAAACCGCCGGTCGTGTGAATCAGGCACTATTCTCAGCGCTTAACCCGTATGATCTCATTTAATCTCCGCAAGAACCTGATGCGTAAGCACCGGTTTTTTCCTTTCGAACAGAAGAGGGGAGCTGAGGCACGAAGGAACGTGCTCCTAAGTGCTGGAGCCGGGGTTTGACCCAAGGCAGCCCTCCCTTTCCTAACTACCACACTGAAGCGTGTGTGTGTGTGTGTGTGTGTCCGTAAAGGATTTCTCAACCCTGTAACCACTCTGTCTCTGAGGGAGGCGTCATTATCCCCATTTAAAAATAAAACAAGCTGAGACTCAGAGGGGTAAGTCGCTTTCCCAAAATAAATCTGCCAGTAAGGGCCGGATCAGGTATGTGAAGCATGGTACACGGTCTGGAAAGCCATGCCTCTGCTGGTGAGGCTGCCTCTGGCCACGATCGGTGCCGTCACGGAGGCCTGGGGACGGATCCCCCAGGGAACTCCGAGCAGGGAGCAGTTAATTCTGCTTCAGAGAACTGGACAATGTTTGTACAGAGCGCACGATATTTGATCTGGGCCTCGAAGGCTGGAGTGTCTTGTGAGGCAGGGAGAGGAAGGCTGTCAAGGTCAGAGACGGTGTGTGCCCTGATGGCGTCAGCCTGCACGTGGGGTGCAGGTGTGGGGGGAGGCGAGCGGTACAGGAGACTGGGAGGTTGGGCCGAGGCCATTTGGAAGGACTTTGCCTAAATGCCCGACTTGGGCTTCATCCTGCAGTCCCCAGAGAGCACAGGCGTCCCGGCTGCTCCAGCTTTCAGGAGGCTACCTGTGCGGAGGGTCTGGATCTGGAGGAGGACGCGAGGCAAGGAGGCAGGGAGAGAGGCCGCTGCCATAGTTCAGGCAAGGGGTGAGGCCCTGAACCAGGGCAGTGGCAACGGGCTGGAGGCGAGGAGTCACACGAGAGAAATGCTTTGAGAACATAGTGACCGAGCTGGACGTGGTCAGTGAGGAAGATGCAGGGACAAAGGGACAGAACACACAGATGGGCCGTATCGAGACGGGGACAGAGGGCAGGCTTGGTGTGCTGGTGGGAGTGCATGATGAGCTCCCTTCTGACCTTCGGTTGGAAGCGTCCATGAGACGCCCGGGAAGAGACATCCCAGGGGAAGCTGGCCTCGGGTTAGAGCCCAGGACAGAGGGTCGGGCCCGGAGAGCAAGGCTCACCAGCACACAGGTGCAGCTGAAGGCCGGCTAGTCCATTGCATCATTCTGGCCGGGAAGAGAACCAGGGTCAGGGAAGAGGACAAGGATGGAACCGGGGCCACCAGTCTTGAGGCAAGGAGAGAGAGAGAGAGGAGCGAGTGAAGGAAGGGAGAGGGGGGGCGTCCCAGCTCACATGTGCTGACTGCCCACCTGGCGCCATTTACCCCTCACGACAACTTTGGAGGGTGGGGCTCGTCCCCTCCTTGGGCCGAGACGAGGTGAAAAGACGGGTCCGAGGTGTGACACTGGGGAGGGCCGGTGTCCGAGCTCAGGCGGTGTCCATCCGCCTCCACAGCCACCTCTTCCGCTGCACTTGGCGGCCACCCTGAGGAGGCGGGAAAGAGCCGGAAGAAGCGGGGAGGGCAACCGGGAATAATGGGGTCCATGCAGACAAGCAGGTCTCAAGGAGGGGGTGGTGGCCAGTGCCGAATGCTCAGAGGAGTCACGCGGCATAAGGACCCCAAAGATGCTGTTGTCTTCAACTGGGAGGCCCACGTGACCTTCAGGGGGCAGGTGCAGGGGCTCATGGGGGTGCAAGAGAAGGCAGGGGGCCTTGGAGGGGCTTCCTCCTCGGGGTCTGTGACATCTGCCCACAGACCCGCACGTGCAAATGCTTGTTCATCCGGCTCCGATCCGCTCACGCTCGTGACCGAGAGCCTCGTCACCGGCCTCTCGGGTGCCAGCCACCCTCCCGAGCAGTGCCGTCCATTCTGCAAGAATCCCCTTCCTCGCCGTGGAGAAGGGGTGTCAGAGCCAGATGTACAGGCAGACGAGGGCCGGGAAGGGGGGCTGTGCCCCCTGCATCCCTCCTCTGCCCTGCTGGATGGCCTGCAGCCACGGAGTGGGCACTAAGAAAACTGTCTCCTACTCCCGGCTCCCAGGGGCCTCGAGTCACGGCCCCTTCTAAGCCTTTGTCCCTCACCGGTAGATGAGGGGTCCTTCCAGCCGGGACGGCCTCGTATCCCATGAAATCCTAACTCCTAAACGGTCTCTGAGGCTCCTCTTCCAAGAGACCCTCATTAATTTGTTACTCTTCGTGGAGGCTTTCCTCCACCCTGGTGAAGTATCTTTGATCCCTTAAGTACAACTTGTCACCCACCCAACACGTGCACACACACACACACACACACACACACACACACACAGTTGCACCATTTGGGCTGGGATCTGTGAATCCCACCGTCGGGTGGTCCGGCCTTTTCTGACTTTGGGAAAGGAATGGGTTGGGAGGGGGTCCAAACACTGCTGTTCTTTTCTCTTTTCTCCGTCCTACTAGGTGATCATGGTGACTGGGGACCACCCGATCACAGCCAAGGCCATTGCCAAAGGTGTGGGCATTATCTCAGAGGGCAATGAGACTGTGGAGGACATCGCCGCCCGGCTCAACATTCCTGTCAGCCAGGTCAACCCCAGGTGAGGCGTTCCCAGGAGCCCGTCCCCCATCAACCCAGCCTGTCCCACAGAGCGCTCGAGTGTCCCCGGGGGCATTTGGATAGCTCCTCTGGGACTTTGCAGGCCTTGCCTGGGACACCTCAGTGACGGCTGCTCGGTCCTGAATGTGTCCAGGCTGTGCCACTGACTGACTGTGTAACCCCGGAGGTGTCACTCTGCCGTCCGGAGCCCCCATTCCCTCAACTACAAATTTAGGGTGCTGTCTACACTGCAGGGTGGCCACGGGGGCGAGAGGCATGTAAGAGAACTAGCACGTTGCCTAGCAACGACTGTGCTCGGTGAGGATGCCACCTCTCTTCCTCAAAGGGAGAGATGGGACAAGGAGGCCACCCATGGAGACAGGGGAGGAGGCCCATGGCCCTGGGAGCCCGACTCTGCAGGGGCCCTGCGGCCCAGTGATGGGGGTGCGGGTGGAGGCAGGCGGCTGGCAGGGGCGCGGGGACGTAGGGGGCTCAGCCACCTCTGTCCCCGCCGTCCAGAGAAGCCAAGGCGTGCGTCGTGCACGGCTCGGACCTGAAGGACATGACGTCGGAGCAGCTGGACGAGATCCTCAGGAACCACACGGAGATCGTGTTCGCGCGGACGTCCCCGCAACAGAAACTCATCATCGTGGAGGGCTGTCAGAGGCAGGTGAGGACGATGGGGGCGC